AAAATATGCATTTCCGACTTTTTTGCAACTGCCGCCTTGAATGATATAACCATCATTATTAAATAACACATATCATCAAAATTTTAATACACGAATCGCGTGCCGCCCAAGCCTTCTCAACCTAATTTGTATTTTGATGTCACGTGACACTGTAGTTTATTATACTGAAACGAACATACGTAATAAACTTCATACATACACACAAGGTTTTACACGGAAATATATCTGTTTGTGTTATAACCTCATTAATTACTTCACGTTATTTTATATTATTAATAACAAATAAATAAAATTCGCGACTAATGTTTGGGGGAAGCCTATGTTCACCGGCAGCCTATAATAGGCTGAAATGACGATTACAATTAAGATCATCTGTTTCAAAGTCGTTTCATCACAACATTGTTTTATGGATATTGGCACCAGGATGTGTACTTGTATAGTTGGTCCCTTGAAGTCAGTACAACAAGTTTCTGGAAAAACTATTTGTGATTGTGCTTCTCGTAGGCCGTAATAGCTCAAGAGGAGAAACCTGTGTATATTTTCGAAATAATGTTTCGAAATAATTTCTCAAAAGTGTTTTTTCGTCGGCACGTCATTATAAAGATTCGAACTCCATTTTGTATTTAATGTTTGCCACTATTGACAAAAATTTAAATTAATTGTCATAAAAAGCTCGAATTTAAAAAGTTCATTTAAATAATGTATGATAACGCCATCTATTGACAATTTAATTTTTATAAAATATCAGTGAATAAAATAAAATATATTTCACTGATAAATACTTATTTACAAATTATTATATTATCAGTCATTCCATTTAGTGAATTATCACGGCACTACTGGTCAAATTTTATTACACTTAACATCAGGTCGACCCACAACTCGCTTGTCATCTGCTAACTTATAAAGAACTGAACTTTATCTTATTACACGTAGTGTGTGCAGTAATACTGGACTTGTCGGCTGCTCGACGCCCACAGGCGGCTAGTAAAAAAAAAAACTTCAATATGTATATACGATATTTTCCTCAGTCTATTTTAAAATTATTACAGCAAGCTTCCAACGGTGTAATACGTGGACTCATTACTCTTGACGTCGACACGTGCATCCGAGACAGCGGAGCTTTTGTAACCTTTAACGGGAGTACCTCCAAGGAGCTTACACGCCTAGCGAAATGGCTTCATAAATTGCTTTGATCTTTGCCGCGTTGCTAAGTAGAAATTGCCTTTCAACGCTACGAACTTATTTTAATAAGGAGCCAAACGTTTAAACCATGAAGAATATTATTCAAGAAGAAACTATAAGTTTTCTTTTCGTATTTATGTTTTATATATGAACATTATTTGATATAAGAACGTATATATCTATAATTTTATTTTTTTCTCAAACGTGTTTTATATCGGTACGTCGTAACTCTCATTACTATCCATCAATTTTATTAATTCAAACACCATTCCAAAGCTTACTATTAATCACAATAGTGACGAATAAAAGACAGGCAGAATAAAGTTAATGTTTTTATTAAAAAAATACTTCCGTTCAAAAATTTCTCTAAAACAATTTATGATAATGCCATCTATTGAAAATTTGTTTAAATAAAATTAGTCTGTAGTCTTTAGATATACATCTTACGTTTAAACATTAAATAAATATTTTAGGACACATTTTCACACAAAGTTCTCCAGTCCCAAACTAAGCAACGCTTGTACTATGAGTATAAAATATATAACAGATAAACATACCTAACATACTTTTGTAAATAAATATATATTTTACATATGTATTTATACATACAGACGCTAGAAAAACACACAGCAAACACGTTCATCACACAACATTTTTCCAGTAGTGGGAATCGAACTCACACCCTTTGGCGCAGGCGGCAGGTACAGTACTCACTACGCCATTCGAGTCAAATATGTAGTGCACATATTCTTAATGAATTTTAAATCCATACTAATATTATACATGCGAAAGTACCTCTGTGTATGTCTGTCTGTCTCGCTTTCACGCCAAAACTACAAAACCGATTTAAATTAATTTTGTTACACAGATAGTCTAGAGCCTGAGAAAGGACATAGGCTATTTTTTAATTGGAAAAGAGGCTTGTAAAGCGTTGAAAATATCTTGATATTTATTTAAGGGCTTCAACGCGAGCGAAGCCGCGGGCAAAAAGCTTGTTTATTATATTATCTCCATTGGACGGGAATTTCGCCGGGCCATGAGATGTTCCAGCGCTCAAAGGTGGCGTCAGACAAAGCGCAAGTCGGCTGAGGAGCCTATTGTGCGGCAAATGTCTCGACTGAAAGGTATCCAATAACAGAGTGAATATTACACGGGCAAACCATACATAAGAATAACCGCAGTAATGTCCTTCTTTTTCAAAAAAATCTGTTACGCTAGCGACATTAGAAGCAGCCAATTGCCAACAGGATGAAAATATTTTTTTTTATTTTAACAAAGTAACTCTACAGACTCGTGGTCCGTACTCTTTTTTGATTAACATGTTTTCTTTTTCAACCAGGAACCCCGTTCACCCATCTATCATCTAGGATGAAAATATTAAAGCACAAGAAGTAATTGTAAACATCACTTTATAACTTTTGTGATATAAAAGCTCACGATAAATATAGTTTCTTTTTGATGTATTTTCGCTTCGTTAGCATATTACAGAATTGATCGCGGGTCTTTTATGATTGAAGTATTCAAAACGAAGGTAGCACTGCCCAATATTACTATTTCATTAAGCAATGCTAGTAATTTTTAGTTACGTAACAAGGCATTTATTCACGTGTGTGACTGGTTTTCAATAACTAATAAAAAAATGTTTTAGCAATATTATATTTATAAGTTATGTGATTAAAAAAAATATAAATAGAATTTTAATAAATGTTTCATCTTTCTAAACATACAAATGAGATATACAGTATCTATGTTATGTGATAAGTGTCGCGCCATTTTTCCATTTTCTTTTTTAAAATTATAATAATAATGTAAGACAATCGAAGTTACGTGGTTTACTTATTTTAATTTTTTGACGAGGCGATCGTTTTACAGACTAATAATAAAAAAATATATCAATACCGATACAACTAATTATTACTTGTTAAATAAGCTGTTAATAGACCACAGACTGCTGCTACGAAGCACGACCCTGAGCCACCTGTATCCATCGAATTCCCGCATATTCGGACAGATAAAAAATTATAACATATTGAGACAACAGTTTTTGCCGGTTCTTCCCTGGACAGGTCTAGTTTAGTGAACCGGTGGTAGTTTTTTGACGTTCAATAGGAACTTAAAATAAGCCTATATTAAATAAAGAAATTTCGACTTTGACTTTGACTTATCAATAAATGCAATGGGATCGGTGAAACACTTTTATATATGAAATTAAAGTATATATTTTGGTGCGCTGGCAATCTCTACCATCACTGACAATGTCATTTATGGCCTGTCAGACATGACGGATCGGTCCGATGGGCAGGATGGATCGAAGGCCTACAAATATCGATGTCAATTTGATGTTGAAACCAGTAGTTTCGTACCAAATTGTTTGATTCGTTTTATGATGTTAAATGGCTTTTGCTTTGATTTAGGCGTCTGTACGGTCGTCAAAAACCGTTATTTTCTTTTAATTATGCCAATTAAAAAAAGAAATCCACCAGAGTTAAAAAAAAACTAATTTAAAAACACTATTTGGAGCGTTTGATGTGTACGATACACACGTCACAATTTTTTTTAAGGTTTTTTCCTCTCTGCAAACGTAGGTTAGCCATATGCCGTATTAAGGCGCTGTATGCAGTGAATTTTCTACTATTTGGGTGGTGAAGGAGGGCAGCGGAGGACGGGTAACACCGCTTGGTATTTAGTTTACTTTGTCCACTAACAAGTTATTTTCAAATTTTTATGTAAAAACAAACTATGGTAGGAAAATCGCGGGTAACACTGGCTTAAATGGTATTCTTTAAACATTTTCAAATATAATCACGGTTTTGGATTGCACCGGGAGAAATTCTTCGGACAATTTTAACCGCAAACCGAAATAAAACTACGCTGATATTTTCCGCTTTTCACGATCCTTTTTCCTTTATAACTTTGAAAGTATTAACGTAAAAGGAATTTCGTGTTTCGTGATTTTGATGTCGTCCTAAAATGATGAATCGTTTATGGAGTGTCAAGAATTTGTTGAGCGTAAAGTATATTTATTTTTCTTAATTCGAGATTTAATTCGAGTTCCGTACACTTATCTATAAAAACGCCAAAACAATCATGTCTATTGTATGAAAGACACACTTAAATATTTTTTAGTATTTGTTGTTATATCAGCAACAGAAATACATCATCTGTGAAAATTTCAACTGTCTAACTATAACGGTTCATGAAATACAGCCTGGTGCAATAAAACCTCAGACGGATTACTTCGATGAAAGGAGTATATCGTTTCAAAACGTCGCGTTTACTGAGTTATCGCTAACAAAGTAATACGTATATAGAGAAAATAGTTCTTTTACACTCATTGTTTATACAATTGATTGTTTAGTAATTCAATGAGAGAGACTTTGGCGAATTTGTTCGGATAGTTTTACATCATTCAGTAGCTGTAGTTGAATGATTGCTAAGTCGTTTAACGATCTATTGCAGCGGGGTCAAGTCTAGAGGCTAAACCACCGGATTTTTAGATTTGATGGAATGATTTTAACTGTGAAAGGGACACGCAGCAGTCTTAGCTGTTGCAAGAATGGAGAGGTCTGTCACAAGTACCACGGGAAGTACCACAACCTCGCAAAGGACGCGTGAAGTGGAAGCTGAGTGAGGTAGCCGGAGCGCACTTTATTAAAAGGTGGTATCGCAAATGCAACCCTAAGGGTGATAAAAATATCAATAGGCGGCGTTCATCACTTAATTTCAGCTGAACCGCCAGCTCGTTTGCCACCTTCTCACATAAAAAAAGATTTATTGTGTTCACGCCGACAGTCCTCGTTATAACCAACACTAACCTCGCCTCCCGTATGGCGTCGACCCAATGCACGCAGTCCACCTCGGAGGCGGCGCGAAGCTCGTACTGCCGCTGGCTCTCGCGTCGGTAAGATATCGTGAAGCAGAACTGCCGACAATTGTTGATGCTTAAATATACTGGGTGTCTTTTCTAAAGATGCCCAAATTCACACGAGACTCGTTCGAGACTTAAGAGAGGTAACCACTGGATGGTTAAGGAAATAGTATTTTTTCGGTGATAGGTTCCGTTTAGAAGTGGAGAAACCGGTGTATTCGTTAGCACAATTAGCAACGCACAAGTAGCCACGGGTACGATCGAGTCTGTGAACACAAAGAGATATTACCGAAGCGTTCCTCTCCATCGGCGACTTGCTGAGACGCTCGCAGTAGGAGCCTTCTAGAAGCAGGACGCCCGTAGGTCGAGTGTTGTTCTCGGACTCGTAGTAGAACAGCATGTTCTGGTACAGCACGAACCAGCGCAGCTGCCATTTGGTGTTGTCGGAGCTGCGCTTGTGGAGATACCCGGCCTGGACAAGTAATTCATAGAAGCCGTGGACTATCAGACAACACGCATTTGTGTGATGAACTGGCCTAAATGTAGGGCCACGCAACACTATTTGCTGTACCACGAATGGTTGTCCATTCGGGAAAGGAACACGACCACACAGAAGACCAGCGTGAAGTGGACGTGTTATAGTTCTGCGTTTCGTCTGGTGACTGAGATAAAAAGAAAGATGAAAAGATGGCATCACCATCTGCAATCTTACTGGTGTTATAAATCTCCATGGGCTGTGGTGATCACTTAACATCAGGTGAACCGCCAGCTCGCTTGCCACCTTCTCACATAACAAAAATCCAAGATGGCGAATCTTAAGCCGTCGCACACAAGCCAAAAGACTCCCCCAAGTGAATTGGATTGTTCCTCGATTGAAGAAGCTAACGTGTAGGAAAGGAATTATGAACTATAAACGCGGACGAAGCCGCGAGTAAATACAATAATCAAAATTGTATTGTATAAAGTAATCAAAATTACGTTTCGTCTGGTGAGTGGGGTAGAGAAGACCCACTTTCTTAATAAGTGGCAACGGATCTGCAATTAAGGGTGTTGCAAATGTCTACAGGCGGCGGTTACTATTTATCATCACGTGAGCCGCTAGCTCGTTTGCCACTAAAACATAAATAAACTCTTGTCATGTAATTATATACTCCTCACGTATAATATTAAAAAAATGAAGTAGGTATATAGGGTCTTTGATCAGATATTGACTTATCTTCAGCAAACTATAATACGGAGGGATGTTTTACTTGTCACTGGTGACAAGATCGTTACCTGCGAGTGGTCATACTGCGCTCTGTCCGACAGGGCGATAAGCTGACCGTCGTTGACACGGACAGAGCGCTGTATCTTCGGGCTTAACATCATGGAGCCGCCTACTATGGAATAAGAAATAAAATTTAAAGACAACTCTAAGAGAACCGTCGGGCTCTGATCAGGGTCTGCTAACCCCAGCCAAAGGAACCTGGGAAGCGGGCAGCTCGTTTATAATCGAATTAAATAATATAACGTACTTTTAGAGCCGTGATAGCTCAGTGTCCGGGCGCTCGCCTTTAATTCAATATACTCGAGCAACCTGAGTTCGATCACCGGTGCCGGCACCAATGAAGTTTTTAACTTTAAGTGCTGACTTATCACGTGCTCCGCGGTGAAGGAAAACATCGTGAGGAAACCTGCATATTTTCGAAATAATAACAAAAAATATTTCGAAGATATGTGAAGTCCGCCAATCCGCAGTGGGGCCGCGTGGTGGACTATGCCCTGATACCCTCTATATAGAGGAGGCCTTTGCCCAGCAGTGGGACATGTATAGGCTGTTACTTTACTTTTTTTACTTTTACTTTCCCTTTTTCGCTTTTAATTCAATAACCACCAGGCACCAATGAAATTGTCAATTTTAAGTGCTAACTTATCATGTGATCAGCGGTGAAGGAAAACATCGTAAGGAAACCTGCATATTGTTGAAATAATAACAAAAGAAATATTTCGAAGATTGTGATTCCGCCAATCCGCAGTGGGATCGGGTAGTGAACTATGCCCTAATACCATCTGTGCAGAGGAGGCCTTTGCCCTCCTTTTGTTAATTTACTTTACTTTAAACCGGGCCAAACCGAGTACGTTAATACATCTTCATAACTTCTCTACTTGACGGGTATTTTTTTTATAATTTCCCCTCGCAACCAGAAAGAAATAGAAAATAAAAGATAGAAATGATAAGTGTACTAAATTGTTTGTAAAAAAGATGGATCTTGAGCCTTTGTTCTTTCTGATTCATGATAATAGTTACTTATGACTTATTTTAAACTCAAATTCCCGACGTTTCTAATACTTTGCAGCATCAGCTAAGCATTATCTAATCAACAAGGTTTTATCTATGCATACTACTTCAGACTTCCAGATTCAACCAACGCTTTCTGCTTAGATCAGACACAAAACGTAAAATTTCAAAAACGAATGTTGAAATGTCATTATATTCTGACGTTTAACTTAGTGATGGTGACGAGACTTTCAGTTCTTTTGAGAAAAATTTTTGAAGCCTTTGTTTTAATTTGCGTAAAAGGGGTTTGTCTTCTTGTTGCAAAGACTATTAGGGCCAAGTACTTCAGATAACTCTCCCACTGCATAATGTAGAGCAGTAGCAGTGGGAACTTTACTTTGATTTTAAATATTTCTTTGACTTGCAGACTTCGAGACTTCGGGTCAACTTTAAGCGGATTAATGCTTTTTGGTTTGCTATTCACCAGAACTTGTTTGGACGTGACGTGAAAGTTATAAGTTTTTCTGTAACACAAGTAATTATCTTTTACTAGTGGTCACCCAGTGGTCGAAATTCATCCATAATTAATTATATATGTGTAATGTTTTTTAATAGATTTAATGTAATTCTCTTCCGTCCGCGTAATTTTCGTAAAAAGAGGCACAAAGTTTTTGCTTCACGTATTAATATATATATATATATATATATATGTGTTAATATATATATATATATATATATATTAATATATATAGATTCTACCGTTATATTAACGCTGTAAACGAATTATTTTCCGATACTTTGCCATGCTGAACCGCCGCTAAAAATTCAGTACAAGTTAATTAAGGAACATTAAACGAAATTTAATTAACCTTGCATTTTTAACCGTATGAAATTAAACTCCAAACTTCATTTTGAACCGTAGGCAGTACATGGCATAAAATCGAGCTCATATAGTTAATTTTATGCCTCCGGAGCATTGTCAACGTTGGCGTAAAACAACTTTATTGGCTCTTCAAAGCCTCGTACAGTTTACGCACCCGAATTTAAGCTTTGTTATGGAGAATACATTTTAACATTTAAATATTCATTCGATGTAAATGTGTGTAATACTATAACGAAAATTCGATGGAATTCTAGGAAAGGTTCATTCCATTGTAACAATTAATTTAACTTGTGACTATTTTAATAATTCTGTAATATTTTTCTCGTTAGTCTCCGTGGAAATAGAACTGAGTAATGATATAGATAAGTATTATTTTTACGTTTTATGAATATAACTAGCAAATTTCATACCTAAAATTAAGGTAAAACAAAACACAATAGTCAAGAGTATATTGTACGCTGAGTTTCTTTCGTCGGTTCTTCTCAGTACAGTTGCTTTCTTTTCCGAACCGGTGCTAGTATTTTGACTATCAATGAGTGAGTGTAATGCTTCTATGTTTAATAAAGATATTTGAATTTTAATTTGTGATTAAACAAACCTTTTCGAAGTAGCTTTGGTATTGCCCTATGTCTCAGCATATAATATGGGACAAGTTTGACTCAACTCCGTTTGACTCAGAGCCGTGATAGCTCAGTGTCCTTGCGCTCGCCTTTAATTCAGTATACTCGAGGAACCTGAGTTCGATCCCCGGTGCCGGCACCAATGAAGTTTTTAACTTTAAGTGCTGACTTATCATGTGCTCCGCGGTGAAGGAAAACATCGTGAGGAAACCTGCATATTTTCGAAATAATAACAAAAAAAATATTTTTCGGAGATATGTGAAGTCCGCCAATCCGCAGTGAGGCCGCGTGGTTGACTATTCCCTGATACCCTCTGTATAGAGGAGGCCTTTCCCCAGCAGTGGGATATGTATAGGCTGTTACTTTACTTTACTATACTTTGACTCAGCTGTGGTAAGGCCACGCAACAGTGTTCGCCGTCACACGAATGGACAGGTCCGTCCGGGTAAATACCACGACTCACAGAAGACCGGCTTGAAGTAGAAGTTTTACACTCGTGTTTCGTCTGGTGAGTGAGGTAACCACTTTATTAAAAGATGGTCACGCATCTGCAGACCTGCGGTTGTTGCGAATGTTCATCGGCGACGGTTATCACTTCACATCAGGTGGATCGCCAGATCATGTGCCACTATCTCACATAAAAAAAAACTTTGAAAATAGCGCGCCTTCCAAAGTAGCGTAAATACAAAGCCCTTACTCGAATCGACCTTATTCAAAATAATCCGACAGTCTAAAGAGACTTCTTTAATTTAATGACATAATAATATAACTAAGTACAACACTTTGTTAAATAAAACTAATTTTACGGGTATTTCTAGCTTTCAATTTTGATCGTAATCCCTGACGTTTCGAACTCTTTACGTACTCTTAATCGGTCACAGGGCAGATTAAGATGTTCTTTGTCTTAGCTTGTGATCCAAAATTTTTTGTTGTTTGTGCCCTCAAAACTTCGTCATTTATGAACCGATTTCATTTTGCATTAGGTTCGCTTTAGCTCCCATGTATTTCAATATTATATTGCATACCAACACATCAGGAAAGTCATCAAAATCAAACACAAATTATAAGTGTAATCTAAATTTGATATATAATAATATGCCTGATTTTCAAATGAGCTTAGCGACCAGAGGATAAGGTATCATTGGTTTTCAGTGAATTTTATTGCTTACAAATTTCTGTAATTATTCTTCGTATGCAATTGATTCTGAAAAGTTTACTCGCGAATATATCAAACTATTTTTTACACTACTTTAACAGAAACATTAAAAAAGCCAAGCTTTCTAGGAAGAAAGCTTGAGTATGAAGGTACGGTAATTGCTGATTATCTGCATATTTAAAATAGTAACAAAAAGAATAGTAATTTCTTCGCGTGAAGCACTACCGAAAACCTTCCATCATATACATTTTATTACTTATATTACAATTCTAAGCTAAACTTCCTTTAAGTTTTACCTGTACAGTCAGAAGCTTGAAAGAGTCAGTAACAAAACGTTTACAAAACGCAGTTAATGAATTAAAATTTGTACAATGTAAAATGTTAAATCCTTGTTCAATAAACAAAAGTTGTGTTCGGATCAAAATTAAAACAAAATCAATAGTAATTTTAACTTGTGATTATCTTTTTTATTATTTTTTTTTTTAATTTTACATCACGCATTTTTCACTGTATTTTGATTTTGATTTTTGTTTTCTTATCTATATCTTCTTTAGCATCTTCTTCCTTTGTGTTCAGTACGGTAGTTACTGATATTTAGATACACATTACCGTTATTTATATATTTATATATTATTTGTAAATATTATAGGTTTATTTAACATCTTTTTTCTTTATTCATATTTTCTGTGTATTTTTATTTTTTTTGGGTTATGGCAAATAAAGAATTATTATTAATATTATTATAAAATATACATTACTTTCTATATAATGTAATTTGTAATAGACAATTTGTTAATTGATTACGATTGGAAATTATTATAATTAATATCTTATCCTCATAAATTGTATGTATAGTTAAAAGTGATAAAATTTAATACTTTTCAAAAATATTAATAAAAAAGTAATATTAAATAAAAACCTACAGTTCATCCAAATGTATTAACATTATTATGAACTGTAGGATATAAAAGAATATAATAATATATCATTTTGTATAAAGATACGAGAATTACTCCGCGTGTACTTCAATATTTACGGGCAAATCGATTCCCCGGCCTGCCGTCTAGTAACGTTAAATTAATAATTAGGTACATACTTTGGGACGCTACTGTGACCCACCAAAGGTTTCATTTGCATTAAAATTACACTTAACGAAAATAGTTACATATTTAATTTTAAAAAATGTAAATTTTATTTTCTAATAAGTTACATACCTTTTACTGTTGTGCCGCTATGCTCCAACAAGACATTTTATATTTAATATCGCGTCTAACTAATATCATCAATTTTCTCGTAATTATTTATAATAGAATTATCAAAGAGTTTCAACCATCCTTAGAAGAATTTATAAACTATGAAAGAAGTAATATAAGGGAAAACAGACAACACTTTGAAACAATCAACAATAATATAGAATAAGACAACAGTAAAAATTCGATATCAAAGAGTATTTACACTAGTAGGCTTGGGACAATCTCAGCGCCTGTTGATTTTGTAATAGCAACGGCCCCACAGAGCAGACGAATAAATTTCACGCGCATATATCGGAAGGGTTATAGTTTACTGGGATGGTTATGGATTTATTAATTGTTATTATCGTGTCAGTCTGTCATTGTGATGATCGAATTAGTGTTTCACAGGGTCTGCTGGAGATTGCGAACTATGGCCTCGTCGGAGACGACAGTTCGACTGCCGGGCGAGCACCTGTTAGCTGAATCGACCGTCGCGCGCGTGCGTCCGTTGATGACGTACAAGACAGTTGAAGAGTTAAGAACAAGTAGATGTGTACATTAACTATCAACAGCCCAACCTTGACCTTCATTGATTAAAGATCATGAAAAAGAATAATATAGAATAAAAGTTTCTCATTTACATGAATGTTACACGCCATCATAATATAAATCAGAGCTTCCCTGTAAAATCATGTTCGCTGATAAAACATACATTTGAAACCTTATCTATCCAATAACTTTTCTGTCAATTTCCTTTATTTATTTCATTCAATACTTCGACCGGTACTAAGAAGGTATATCAAACAACAAACATAAATAATAAATGAGGTCCATGTCTAACACTTTTGAAACTTTCCAAATATTCAACAGATAAGCCCACGATGTACTGAAACTCTTCGGCCTATCTCCATCGCACACTCGTTCGCGTACCTGCCATGGACACACGAATGTTTAAAAGGTTTATATATGCTTCTCGTGGTCATGGAATGCAATATTTTATAAATGCTTCTTTGACCCCCGAAGTTTCAAAGTACCCATGGCCACCTACTGTATATAATATATTGCATAAATTAATCTACAGATCTATGCCTTTCTCTACTCAGAGTTAATCAATCAATAAATTTTTAATTAGCCGCACCTTTATAAGATGTCTTGGTTAAAAAAATGTAAAATACGTAATATTTTATGTTTTGAAATTACATAAATAATAATTGATGCAGCATTAAAATACATAACAACACACAATTTTTGCATAAACGAACATCTAATTTGATGATATTATGTAAGCTTCGCCGCACACGCATATTCGCTCATTAACACTAGGGATTGCGACTGAGGTGAAGTGTTTGAATTGAGCTTGAAACATATGATGAAACTTAGAACAATATGATGTGAACTATTTGAAATAAAGCTTTATAATAATATTAAGTGCTAAATTAGTGCTAAATTATTATTACTGAAAATATTTTTTGAATACCACAAATAAACAAAGTCAAACTCTAAAGATCCCAACCAAACTATTTCGATTATGTAATATATTAAAAATAAAAATCTCCAACTTCGCTTTTTCAATGAGTTATTTAAATAAATGTAATAATTAAGTTTCATTTACTTTAATTAAAGCATTATTCCTAGTATGGCAATTTGTAAAAGTTCGGTAGATTACTGATTTATTATTGATTTGATTGAAAACTTTTATTATCTGTATTCTTTACAATTAAAATGTCACAAACGTCAAAATTTTGTATCTTCTCACTCAGTGAATAAACATATTCGATGGTTAATAATCTGAATATTTAACTTTATTTCGGCTCTCTTGAGAAAACCATAAATTTTGATGGACATCTGAAATTTTAAATATCAATATTATTGTGAGATGATTTATTAGTTAGCGGTCTAATATGGCTTCAGGGTTGAAAAATGACATTGTGAACCGATTGCTGAACGTAAGGTTCGATGAGGGAGCGGGCGGAGACGAACACCCTCCGCAAAACATGCTACCATCGAACCAACAAGCCCGACAGCTGGGCAACGCTCCTGACGAGGACAATGCTCGAATCCCCGAGCCTACGCCTTCCTCGTCTGCCATAGAGAATTTACAGCCCACCAACAACTCAGGCGGCCGTTTACATAATTGGCAGGCGACGAAGACGACAGTGAAAGAGCGATTATCGTTTCTTTTCAATAACGAGATTCTGTCCGACGTGCATTTTATCGTTGGCAAGGATGCGAACCAGCAAGTCATACCGGCTCACAAGTTCGTTCTGTCCGTTGGAAGTGCTGTTTTCGACGCTATGTTCAACGGTGTTCTGGCAACGAAGTCAGAGGAGGTTGAACTGCCTGACGTGGAGCCGGCAGCTTTTCTGCACTTGTTGAAGTTCCTTTATTCGGATGAGGTCAGAATCGGTCCAGAGAGTGTGATGACTACATTGTACACTGCTAAAAAATATGCTGTTGCTGCTTTAGAGGAGCATTGTGTTGATTTCCTAAAGAGCAACTTGGGAACGGACAATGCATTCTTGCTGTTGACGCAGGCTAGACTGTTTGATGAGCCTCAGCTTGCCGCATTGTGCTTAGAAATGATAGACAAGAATACAGTTGATGCATTGAATGCGGAGGGATTTACAGATATTGACCAGGATACTCTAAATGCTGTCTTGGAAAGGTACTGTGCATTATTTTAACTATAAAAAATACGAAATTTGCAATTATTTTGTGTTTTTTAAACTTAGGATCAATAGATATAACATAATATGCTTGTAACACATACCCTGCCTTTTGTTGAAACTTATTTTATTGGTAACATATGTAACCAAACTATAAGCATGAAGTGGATTTTAAAGATGTCAACACATCTGCAAGCCCTCCCTCACGTGTTGTAGATAACTGTGTAGTGGTCTTTACTTAACATCAGGTGAAATGGATGCTCATTTGACAATTTTTCACTTAAAAAAATCTGTATCTATCACATAAATAAGATATTGTTAAACATAATTACTTTTTTTATTTTGTTGTCTAAAGCCTTTGTCCTTCTATATTTTTTGTTTTTTTTTACCTAAGAACAATGAACTGAATACAAAACCAGACTTATATCTTTGCTGTGTTTAGAATCTGTCTGAGAAGAATCTGAAATTTATCATTTCATCCTTCTTAATAATTTCAGAGACACTCTTCGCATCAGGGAAGCTAAAATATTCTCTGCTGTTCTACGTTGGTCAGAAGCAGAATGCATACGGCGGCAATTACCCGTCACACCTAGTCATCAGCGAATGGTACTGGGACGGGCCTTCAACGCAATTCGATTTCCTTTGATGTCCGTAGAAGAGTTTGCGATGGGCCCTGCACAGAGCGGCCTACTCGATGACAGAGAAATTGTCCAGCTCTTTCTCTATTTTACGGTCAATCCAAAACCGAACGTAGGATTTCTGGATACCCCACGTTGCTGCATGACAGGAAAGGAGCTAACAGTAAATAGATTCCCACAGACTGAGTCCAGGTGGGGATACAGTGGGACATCTGATCGCATTAGATTTACAGTCAACCAAAGGATTTTTGTTGTTGGTTTTGGTCTCTACGGATCTTATTTTGGGCCCACTGAATATGAAGTACATTTGCAGGTAATTTGCAAATTTTGTAAGATTCACTATTTTTTTAATTATAATAGTAATGTAATGTGTTAATCCCACCTTTTCCATATACTGATTGAGTAATTTTCTCTACGTAAACATTTTCAATCTCTATCAAAAGGTAATACACCTTGCAACGAAGAAAGTGTGCGGATCAAACACGACAACCTTCTGCTGTGATGGTACGGATGACACTTTTAGGGCCATGTTCAAAGAACCGGTCGAGATACTGCCCAACACTTCCTACATAGCAAGCGCTAAACTCAAGGTAAAAGAAAATATCTTTCGACTATAAGACATTTTTACTTAATATACCAAGATTTATTTCATGATTCGTCCAGAATTGATACAATATCTGATATGAAGAATATAGTAAAGTAACAGCCTATACATGTCCCACTGCTGGCCAAAGACCTCCTCTATACAGAGGGTATCAGGGCATAGTCCACCACACGGCCCCACTGCGGATTGGCGGACTTCACATATTTTCGAAATATATATTTTTTTCTTGTTAATATTTCGGAAATATGCAAGTTTCCTCACGATGTTTTCCTTCACCGCGGAGCATTTGATAAGTCAGCGCTTAAAGTTAAAAACTTCATTGGTGCCGGCCAACCGGGGATCGAACTCAGGTTGCTCGAGTATATTGAATTGAAGGCGAGCGCCCGGACACTGAGCTATCACGACTCTGAAGAATATAGTACTCATACAGTTTTTTTTTTTTATATAAAACCTAGGGCCTATTGGCTGGACATATCGATATTCAATCTGAAATTCGCGTCTAAACTTTCATGCAGCAATAATATCTTCCGGAATTCTTATGACTTATTACAAAAACCATTTGATTGACAAATGGTTATTTAAAACAATTTTCAGATTTTATTGTGTTGCATTTAGATTTTCAATCAAACTAAACAATTATGCAAGAACTATTTTGCATGATTGTGCCTGATTTATAGCAACACTTTCTCTACCCGTCATGTTTAAGAAACTCGATCTCCGTCTACCATTAAAGTTTAAGTTCGGAGAAAAATCGTTGATGAGCGATGCGAGCTTGGCGTTTGCGGTAAACATCATGTTGGTGTTAAAAAAAAATAATCGGATCAACTCTTTCCAGGGCACAGACTCTTACTACGGCACGAAAGGCCTACGCCGCGTCACGGTGGATTGCAACAACGGGGAAAAGGTGGTATTCCAATTTTCATACGCCGCCGGCAATAACAATGGCACCTCGGTCGAGGACGGACAGATACCAGCAATCATTTTCTATATATAAGATTTGCTTAATACCTCCAACTTGCCGTACTTCGCCATTTTACAGGTCAAGGGAGGTAGGCAAAGGTCACGCGACGGCCAGAACGTAAGCAGTTGCGTGCGAATTTATAATCTGTGCAATATGAAAAAATAATGGCGGGAAAGTCTAGACTGCTGAAAATTTTAGTTTTATCTGTTGCTTGGTTTATTAATTGGCTTGCTATTTATAGGGCAGTGAATGGATTTTATCAATTATGGAACATTATCTTTAGGTCTTTCGGATACTGATGAAGCAAATTTTAATTTTGTAGCATGTTTATATCAGCGTAATAGAACATAGTCTTAAATAGATTTTAGAAAAATGCGCTTACAGTCGTCGTGTACATAATTTATTATTATTATAATGCCTCAGATTGAAAACAAAAAATTGGCTTTTTAACTAAACGTGAACTGTCTCTTAGTGCGGCCATTAGTCATAAATTGGGAAATATAAAGAAAGCTCAACACATAATTGGTTGGTATAAGATAAGCACCCTTTTGAAATCCTCTTTTAAGATATCTGCATACCTCAAATAAAATATGCTTTAGGAGTTTCTTATTTTGTCATCTGCCCCTAAGCTTTTAATTTATTTTCATCTATTAATTTATTATATTTCAATTTATAAATCCAGTACCCGATTTAAAGCTGAAAATTCAATTTCTCTATTTTTTAAGTACCTATTATTTAACACATACAAATAACCACATATAAGGTCAAAACTTATCAGAAAAGTCAGTCAATTATTCTCCTATAGGAAGTAGTAAAATCATTTGAATATATGTAAGCTAAATTAGTTTCCTAGACAACAGACAAATTCTTTGCCCATAGAACCTTATTAGCATAATGACTTCAATAATAAATTTATTTTGTTGTTTTAATTTACTGGTTAACTTGTAAATATATAATAAATTATTTGGATCACTTCTAGATAGTGTCAATATTAAATTTAATGCAGACTAATTATTTTTCAATGCTTCCATAATCTGTAACTTGAATGATAAAAGAAATAAATTAAGTTCATGTCTTCATACTAATATAATTATTACTTCCAAACACTTTGAATATAAAATACTGTAACATAATGGGTTCATAAAAAATCTAGACATATTAAAAATAAATTTCCAATTCAAATGTTTCCCTGTCACAATTTGTCTGTCTGTTTTATTCATAGGTCATCTCTTAAGATCACTTTAATTCAAGACATTTCTCATCTTACTATTCTGATTAGAGGAACACATACTTGGGTTCTCGAATTAGGAACATAGATTCAATATTGACATGAAATTAAAAAGAAATTTAAATTTATTTTAGTTTTCGTCTGTGTAAATAAATATGCAGTGTAACTATGCTAAAATATGAAATGTATTTGTAAAGTAGATATGGCTACATTAGTAAGGTTTCATTATAAATATTTTCACATTAGGTGGTATGCTTTCAATGTTTAGCAAGTTTAATATTTATTCGCCCACGAATATAATATTCATTATATTATTAAAACTTTCATGGTACACTATTAACTAAGCAATTAAAATGACCGCAAACTCATAACATTCACCCAGGTGGACTCCCAATATATCCGATACTAGTCGGTACTGAGTATAGCCATTTTATTTAATTAATATTGATGTATGTTCATGTGTATAGTAAATGGTACATATAATTAAATATCTACACTAATGCACCATATCAAATTGTTAATATGACAATCACATATTTGATTAGTAAATAAAATATTAGTAACAAATATGTAAGATTACTTCAAGAGACAAAGCTAGAAGCTTTTGTTCTAAAATTGTATGAAAACTTACATTAAATAGATAGTCTTGTTTTCATTAGCTAAATGTTTATAGTTGGTTAAATCAAATGTAATTGTAACTAGACAAAAAAAATCATCTTTCAAAATTAAATGTGTAATGGTTGTCAAAAAAAATATTGTGTTATTGTAATGTTCTTACCAGAAAAGTAAAAAAGCTCGCCATTTTGCGGAAAACCAATCAGTGATTTCTTCTACCGATCAATTAGATGCTCGATGGCAGGATTTTTTTTATTTTTCTGGTCACCGTATAGGTATACTGTTTCTGTATTTGATAAGAGCCTGTAGATTGTCTAAAATTTAATGACATTGTAGTTTGGGATCAGTAGAGTTCGTTGTCCAGTTCGCAAACAATTCTCCCTACGGAACGGCACTGTTCCTGTGAATATGTTACATAGGGTCCCAAACTTCAACGTTCCGTTAGTGCTTGCTAAATGGTTTTTATCATCCACAAATGTGCTCTTTGAATTTTCATTGTACATTAAAACCATATCTATCCAGTGACGCATCGTAAATGCTCCAATTAAGGTGAGATCGAGAATTAAAATTTAAATTAATAAGACAGCTTTGTTTAAAAAACGTGCTTTGTCCGCGCGTTTTTTTTTTTTATGAAATCCATATTTTCAGTATAATTTTTTTTTATAATTGAGAAGAGATGAGCTTGTAATGTCTTAATTTTTGACAGTCAACAAAACCTTTATAAAATTTTATAATGACATAAGAATAATACACTAACAAAATATTGACTTGGCCGTAGGTATGTTGTTGTTGAAAACAGATATAAAAATATTTTGTGTATGTATGATGACTCAGTGGCGCAGTCGCGAAGGTTTCGGCTTCGGCGTCGGGGGTCGTGGGTTCGATTCCCACACGGGTCAACTATTTGTGTGACCCACAGATAGTTGTTTCGCATCTGGGTGTTCGTCCGCGTGAAATTTATGTTTGTAAAAACGTCCTTACAACACAGGATAATGTTATCCCAAAGTAAGGGCAATGTTTCTTTACCATTAATTTTTTTTTTTTTTTTGTGTACAAGTCCACGAAATTAGGAACAGCTTAAAATTGTCCATGTTCCGTTAACAAAAGCGCACATTTGTGGAAATAGCTGTAGATTCTTTTTCTATATATATATAATCTGTGATAGAGACTCGTAAGAATTTAATGAGGTGAAAATCAGAATGTTTAAAAGTTTTATGAATAGCTTTGTTTCCTTTGTATACTTTTCTATTGTTTGTTTTTCGTTACATTATGGCATAGAAAAAAATCGTTCTCAAGGGACTAATGAACAGCCTCATGATTAAATATTATCGAATTCTTTTGGCATTTTTATAATGTGGTTCGGAAAAACGTCTTGTTTGGTGAAGCGCACGTGTAACCTAATTTAGCGCGAAGAAAAGGGATAGTTTGTAATTGTATTGTGAGTTTTATAAAGATGGATGCTGTCCGTCACCGAATAATTATTGCGGTCAAAAGCTATTTTTGTAAAAGAATTCGACGCGTTCCAGCAAAAGACTGTATTAAATGTTATATTTTTATAACGCATTGGTGTAATGTAATATTTTCAAGATGAAATGTTCCTTTTGTCATTGTGTTCGAACAATTTTACTCAGTTAATTAATTTAAAAGTCTATCTGTCGTATTTATGAACGGAGTCACAAATTATTCTATGCACTCTTTATCAAAACATGAGTGCATTAGATAGTAAAGTTTTGAATTTGCTAACTGAGAATTTTCGATTTCTCAATTTGTCGGTTGCTTAAGTTATGTTTTTGACCACTAATTAATTTACAAAAGAATTTTTTAGGTTTAACTTTATATGAATCTGTGTATACTTTAAGTTTTTTTACCGCACTTTTTTTTTGCGTAGTATTAAGTTTCATTTTGTTTCCATTTGTTATATATAAGAAATCCACCATATCGTTTTTTGATCAATTAATAGTTCCTAAATAATTACAGCACAACGATTATTTCAAATTGATTCCTCGATTTGGTTGTATTTCTAGTCAGGTGCAACGTTCGTCTTCATTCGCGAAGTCTCTATTCGTATGTCTTTGGATGGACTGTGCCATGTTGGTTGATAGTTGTCACACCGTGCCAGTTTTCAAGAAGTTTTTTTGTGTTGCTTTATATTTATATAGTATCGCTCACTAAAGTAAGCCCCTTCCAACTTGTCTTCAACGTCCTTAACCGGAATTATTCACTGATTGTATAATCGGTAATTTTTTTTTGTTAAAAATTGATAAAACCGTTGGTTAGGATCACTCAAAAATCTTGATGACGTGCATTCCTCTTTATGTCAATGTCAAACCCAAGTCACTGAAATTATTGTTAACCAATGGAAGAAGAAAAAACTTGGGATACGAATTTTTTAACTTTTTATTTGTCTATTACAATTTTAATGTGAATATTATAAAATTGAGAATTTTAAGAACAACTTGACGGAATTGTAACAACGGAATTGTAATAACTCACAATATTATAAAAAAAAATATTAATTAATAAAAAGAGGAATAAGTTATCCAATAAGCAACAAAAGCTAAGAAAGGGCTAACTTTTAATGGCCAATAAACGCTCTGGCAACGAATTAAAACGATTTTGCCGCAAGCCAAAGCGAAAAGAAATTTTGAAGCAAATCATTGGTGTACCATTGTATATATACACTACACATAGGCATGTATAATATATTTGCCAGATCTGTTATCAAATATTTGAAGAAATGCTCCGCTGGTGGTCTGATATTAACGCAATTTGTGTATATTATCTCACACTGGAAAGCACAAATGTGTGACGTAACGCACTCATGCAAAGAATACTTTGTTTGCATGTGTGTTTACGTGTTTGAAGTTACGTCTGATGTAGGAAAAGACATCTTAATGAATTCATACAAGAGCGATCTTGAAAGTGAGTCGTGGTCTCTGTTGAAGTGTTGAAGTCTAGAGGGATTTATTAACATCTTGAGTGGGCGATGAATTCAGTTTTTGTGTACACAACACATTCAGTGAAATTTTTATTGTCTTATTTGTCTCAGTCCGTCACTGACACACGATATGTTTTGCGTATTTATATTACTTTAGATGTGGCCGTAAGGAAATTGGAGCCGTGTGTGTATGTTCTAAAAATGTATTTTCAAATAACTTTTGTATAGAAAAAATGTTCGTTTAGAATTTCATCGATTAAATGAATAGAAAGAAAAGTTAAACTGATGTTTCATTGTGACGCTGGTCCTTTTAGATTAACTTAAATATAAAATATTTTTTGTTTGCAATTTTGGGTACCAGTTCTTACTGTTGTGGCGTACGGATTGTTTTTTTTTTTATATTATCGTATTTTCAACGGTCGCCAATGGTGATTTGAGAAATTCCGCTATATATCAATGTCCAGTCGAGGTCCCTTTCGCTGAAGATTACCTCCGTTAAGACGAATTTATTCGCAGCCAAAACATGACATAGTTCAAGGCGTGATTTCCTCGAAATAAATCTCGGCATAGATTCCTCTTGTCCATAACACTCGGTTAATTCGGTCTCCACTGTGAAGGAATAGCCTGGTTGCATCGACCTGTTCCAGTCTTCCCGAGTCCATAGTCCACTATAGTGAACTTAAGCTTTTTTTATTAAAACTTGTAGAAAAAGTACGAAAAGATTGTCGCCGCTGTGGGAATCGAACCCACGTCTTCGGCATTCGCGGCCTGGCTAGCCAGGCCCTCGCGACTATTTCATTTGTATTCGAAGTCGATTTAGAAAAATTAAGCTTCACTCGCGGGCCAATTGGAAAGAACTATTATAATTCCAAACTACCTATATTATACAAATTGTTTCATATCTCTTCTAAGTCTATTTAAATATAGTGCTTAATCGAATAAATCAGTTCATCAAACGTTCCCCATGTTTTTTTGTAGACTAGTAAACGACGCCCTATATCTGAAAGAGCGGGAAAATATTCCAGGTCCGCTAGATGTTTATCTATTTGCATCAATGAAAGTGCATTCTAATTATTCAAACAATATTACGGAATTTATCGCAGTTTCAGTTTAAATTTTCAACCTCATCGTTATGATCACTCATATGACTAGCCAGGCCGCGAATGCCGAAGACGTGGGTTCGATTCCCACAGCGGCGACAATCTTTTCGTACTTTTTCTACAAGTTTTAATGTTTAATCTTAAGTGCAGAGATTAGCACTATAAAAAAACCTTTAAATTTCTAAATAGCAATGGCGACATCTCTCGTTCGAAGTTATCGTTGTAAAACGGTATTCGAAATTGTTTGTATGCTGGAAAGGATATAACAATAGATGCGCCAAGAATTGCTTTAAATGCTAAATAACAATGTAGATAAAAGACGTTAAGATTTTCGTCGGTGTCGCAATCAGCCGTTTAGCTTAGTGGCTAAAGCGTCAGGCCGCGAATGCCGAAGACGTGGGTTCGATTCCCACAGCAGCGACAATCTTTTGTCTTTCCGTACTCTTTGTACAAGTTTTAATGTTTAATCTTAAGTGCAGAGATTAGCATTATAAAAAAAACTTTATATTAAGGCTTTTTTGTTGACGTGGAGTAATAGGCATAGTCGCCATCACAGGGGCAAGAGCGGGCTTCGTCGTATACCCACCGACTAAAAACCCCACGATTTTCTTCACAGGGCGCATACTAACAGGTTCAAGGGAACACTTTCGTATACTTCGCGACCGTTCCAGCGCTAGCCACCTCAGCAGCTCCAACAGTCATGGGAGCTGAGAGAGCCACTGGGAATTACACATCAGTTTTAATACAGTTAGAACTTAAACTAAACGTATTTTTGAAGTATTGGTTGATATGTCGGAGAAGTGACTTTAACAATTACATCTTATCATCATTTTTAAAACATCGTGCAGAGAATTTAGCACAATTAATGAAGATAGTGACATACGCAATTAGGACGACAATAAAGCCATTGAATTTGAATGAAAAGCATAAACAGACTTGTTTTCTGTTTTTTAATTATCACTGACACGAATAAAATATTACGTAGTTCTTCTCTTTTGTGATTGACATTAAAAATAAGCCAGGTATAAAAATACATCGCCCCAACTAGACAAAAGAAATGTAGAATCTAAAAATGTAATTATGTTAGTCACTCAACCGTTCAGGAGACCGATCATATGGGGTCTACGAACAACCCATCTGTTCCTGCCAGTCGAGGTGCCTCTTGGCGAGGTTCTTGGACACCGGCTTGGTCTTCTCTATGGCTGCCAAAATGTCCGCCAAGTCCAGGCGATCCTTGCGGCCGGACTGACCTGAAAACATTCGTAAATACTGTGTCATTTGGAGGTATATTGTAATGAATAACATGTACTTATTGTAACATACCACATGTCACAGACTTAGAGAAAAGTTCTTTCATTAGATTTTTTTTCTTTTTTTATGTGAAAAGTTGCCAAGCGAGCAGACGGTTCACCTGATGTTAAGTGAATACCGCCGCCCATAGACATCTGCTACACCCGAGGGCTCCAGATGCGTTGACAGCCTTTTGAAAATTGGGCTTAAAAGTTACATTGTGGCATATGTCAATGCTGCTCAAACTGTACAACAATATGACAAAGTATTCACAGATAAAACATTTTTGACTTGAACGACAAGAGTAAGCGGTGGACTGTTTTTGCTCTATCGTAACGTAACGTATAAACGTAAAAAAGATTCATTAAAAATTAGAAAAGTATAAAAACATATTTCATTATTATTACAATAATACGCCTATGGAAACAAACAAAAATATTATTTTATACTTTGTAGCCTATTGTTTTTATTTAATTACCCGTCTTTTATTCAATAGTTTGTATATTTCCCACATATTTTTTTTTAATTTAAACCTAGTGTCCAGCGCGTTCATGCTGACTAAGCATTGGGTTCTTCGAATTAAGAAGAAACTACTCACTCCTCGCCATCACGTTTGGCAGCATCTTCCTCACGTTCATCATCAGCGCCTCTTTGCAGGCGAGCTTCACGTCGCTGCCGGAGTAGCCATCCGTCTTCGCCGCCAGCTGCTCAAAGTCTACCTTCGGGAACAGCTCAACCGTCCGCGCGTTCAGGTACGTCTCGAAGAGTTGGGCGCGCGTCTTCGAGTCCGGCAACGGAATGTATATCCTCTTCTCCAAGCGGCGTAGCATCGCCGCGTCTATTTCCCTGGCGAAACGCTAAACGATAATAATAGCATATTGATCTCTTGCGAAATGAAACTATTTTATCACTTTCCATTACATTTTGTTAAATATGCGATGATACGGACATTGACATTAATAAAATGACATTATGAAATAGGTACTCTATTGTGTTACGTACATTTTTTGTTTAAAAGATACGGAACTTCATAATTATACGAGATCCATATTTGTATGTCAATGTCAATGTCCCGCTTATGTTTTACTTCAAGAAGACCACGTCCCGGTTTTATGTTGGCGTCTTGGAAGAATTTCAAAACTATACACTGGTCCAGATGGAATAGATCGTGTCGCTGATGTTGCCACTACTAAGGGCTGTGTTCGCAGAGAAGTTGTTCGTCTCAGCCCACTGTTTAATGAAGAAGATGAAAGTTGAAAGACAGACTTTCAAGGGGGGGCAGGATGTTACAGCGCCACCTATCATGTAAAGGATGCAACATATGCCCAACCATCTTCCTTTATACTTTTGCTGCCTACCTGCGATTGTGTTCTTATTTTCTATGTTTAACGCCTTTTATTATATTATAATCTCCTGTTCTGTTCCATTTCTTTTTTACTACAATACACAGTTTCTAAACAGTCACGAGCTTTCTAAATTATTTCAAAACCTACAAAATCCGTTTCATTAATTCTCTAAAGAATTAACAAACTTATATTTAACAGACTTTAGATTTTTAAATTCCTGACGTTTCGAACCTTTTCCAGCGTTTATGGTCACGGGATAATGATCGCGACCTTTTTTTATAACTACATGAAATCATCGCGCCATTTAATTTCTACGAACATTTAGAAGCAGTGTTGTTATTCGCTGTATGTATATTCAAGTTTTTATGTAAAAATTTAAAATTTTAAATGACACGATCTGTCGTCTTAAGTTATCACTTATTGATGCGTATAATATTTTCTTTAGGCCCTACCTTAACGGTGGTAGAGTCACGCAGCAGCCTCGGCTGTTGCACGAATGGGCAGGCCCGTCCGGGTAAGTACCTCACAGAAGACCAGCGCAAAGTGGAAGTATGACAAATACTTTCGCGTTTCGTCTGGTGAGTGAGGTAGCCGGAGCCCAATTTTCAAAAGGTTGTTAACGCATCTGTAACCCTCGGATGTAGCAGATGTCCATGGGCGGCGGTATTCACTTACCATCAGGTGAACCGTCTGCTAGTATGACAACTTTTCACATAAAAAAAAGTATAAACAGGCTGGCTTTTCTTAAGGTGCCCAAATTCACACAGGAGGATCAGACTCGGTAGTATAATCGTTTATTGAAATAAAAACAAACTTTTTTTTTTCAAAAAAATTGCCATACCATTCCCTTAAAAACAGAAGTTGTTGACAATGCGGTAGTCATTCATAAATGCTTCGAATACTTTTGAAACGAACTTGTGTGCGTGTTAGTTATGAATGATCGCGCGTAAAATAAATGAGTTGCCTATAAATGTATTTAATTAATTTCGAGTGATTTTAAATATTTATCATTTTTATATAACATTATTTATGTCTAGAATTTAATAAAAAAATGGATACACTTAAAAAAGCCTCCCTATATATTGTATGTGGTCCACCATCGTCATCGTCATAATTTCAGCTTATTCGAGTCCACTGCGGAACATAGAACACAGGCACAAAGCACGATCCTGAGCCACTTGTATGAATCAAATTCCTGCACTTTGAAAAAAGAACACAAGATTTTTCCTCGTCTCAACGTGCATTGGCAGTGTTTATTGCTCTATAAACATTTGGTTACCCAGAAGATTCCTCATGATTTCTTCAAGCGTGGTCTTCTTTAATTGTGGTAGGGGCACGCAACAGCTTCTACTGTTGCACTAATGGGCAGGTCCGTCCGGGTAAGTACCACGACCTCATAGAAGACCGGCGTAAATTATAAGTGTTACACTTCTGCGTTTCGTCTGGCGAGTGAGGTGGCCGGGTCCACTTTAGTTAAAGGTGGCAAAGCATTTGCAACTCTACGGGTGTTGCAAATGTCCATTGGCGATGGTTTTTACTTAACGGCAGGAAAATCGCCAGATTGTTTGCCACTTTTTCACATAAAAAAAAGCGGTGAAATCGTATTAAATTGGTATGATCATTGCGGTGTCACCCACCACGGCATGTTGGAGTTGGCGAGAAGGAACACCAGCCCCTCCCTCTCCCTCACGCCGTCCAGCTCTGTGAGGAGTTGTGACTTCAGCCGCCTGGAAGCCTCGTGCTCCCCGCTCGAGGACCGCTCCGATGCCAAGGTTTCCACTTCGTCTATGAAGATTATCGACGGGGCATAGTAGAAAGCCATTTCGAAAAGCACCTGGAAGTTGAATAATATAAGCAATAATAAATGAGAGCTGTGATAGATCAGTGTCCAGGCGCACGCTTTTAATTAAACATATTCGAGCAACCTGAGTTCGAATTCTGTCGGTGGTACCAATGAAATTATTTATTGCAATTGCTTATTTATCGGTAGAAAAACACCGTAAGGAAACATGCATCCTTTTGAAATAATTATATAAAAAACTATTTCGAAGAAATGTAAAGTCTACCTATCCGCGATGGGGTCGCGTAGTGGACTATGCCTTAATACACAGGATATCTGAGGCCTTACAGTCTTGTGTTCTACTTCTAGATAAAATACGCCTGTACTCTTGGATTTTATCCAGCAGAGCAACATATTTAGACTGTTACTATTTATTACTTTTGAAAGTCATGAAGAGACGTGGTACTTTCACCCATCTTTTAAAAAAATGACAATTCAATAATGTTGAATTTTCTTGATTACCACAATCTTCTAGACAACGAAAGCAAATTTGTTGGTGCGAGAAACTCTAGAGCGAGATTCAAATTATATTGTGTTTCTTCTTATGGCTCTTATAACTTCCAGTCCAGGTTTTAGTAGAGTGAATGAGACAAGCTCTCTCCTGAAGCTACAACCGGGAATAGAATTTACGGATCGAAGAAGGGAAACACAACCTTGACTATCTTCTCGGACTCTCCGCGCCACTTGTTGACCACCGTGGAACAGGAGACGTTGAAGAAAGTGCAGCGGCTCTCGCTGGCGACGGCGCGGGCGAGCATCGTCTTTCCGGTGCCCGGTGGGCCGTGGAGTAGGACCCCTCGCCATGGCTCCAGCAGGCCAGTGAAAAGATCAGGGTACCTTCGGACAGAAGGCCGTGCCACCTTCAATACTTAATTGGGACAATGAAACTTACTAAAAAGACAAACAGAACCAAATAGCTAACGCGATTCAAGTACTGACTGATGACTTTGTTGAGTGACGCGACAGGTGGTGGCCTTATCGATGTAAAGTGAGCACTAATATGAGAAATGACTTTCAGAAGTCTTTCATAAGGAATTAAACAAACGGAAAATTTTTTCGTTCGTCCGATTGGAATAGGCCACTCGTAATTTCAATATTCCAGCCACATTAGCTAGGCTAGTCGTATTCTAAACATGACTCAAACTATATTACGTAAACTATCCGCCAAAAAATCAAAAAAATCTGATGGAGATAACTTGAAACTTTTATCAAAATTAAGGTTGGATTCTATCTCTCCAGTACCTTTGAAATCACAAGCCTTTACAGTTGCTACTATTTTACTTTCAATGTCACTCACCTAACAGGATAAACGACAGATTCCATCAGTATACTCTTGGCTGACTCCAGGCCCTTGACATCGTCCCAGTGGACTCCAGACGGCTTTATGATGTCCTGAAACAGGAGTTCTACCAGCTGCTTCTTCTCCGGGCTCATTGTGACCATGAAACTGGCCAACGGTTTTCTGTCTATTGCCGGAATCGCTGTTTCCGCGTCATCTGGTGGATTGTCCTAAAATATATAAAAAGTCGGATTATGCATTACATAGCCCAGTTGTTTTTTAGGGTAGAGCTAGGCAAGAGACATAATTAAATCCTTATTGTATTTAAGCCGTTTCCCGTAGTAAAGTAGAGTATCAGCCTATACATTGTAGTGTTAAGTGGTAGGACCACGCAGCAGCCTCGGCTGTTGCACGCATGGGCAGGCCCGTCCGGGTAAGTACCACGACCTCACAGAAGACCAGCGTAAAGTGGAAGTATGGCAAATACTTTCGCGTTTCGTCTGGTGAGTGAGGTAGCCGGAGCCCAAATTTCAAAAGGTTGTCAACGCATCTGCAACCCTCGGGTGTGGCAGATGTCCATGGGCGGCGGTATTCACTTAACATCAGGTGAACCGTCTGCTCGTTTGACAACTTTTGGCATAAAAAAAAAAACATGTCCCACTGCTGGGCAAAGGCCTCCTCTGTACGGAGGGTATCAGGGCATGGTCCACCACGAGGCCTCACTGCGGTTTGGCGGACTTCACATACCTTCGAAACATTTTTTTTTTGATATTATTTCGAAAATATGCAGGTTTCCTCAAGATATTTTCCTTCACCGCAGAGCGCGTTTCCCGTGATATTCACTTAAAATTAACATTCACATGATACGTATTATAAAATTGGATGTACAAGCGAGACATCTCGTCTCTATGATTACAGTATAAAAAAATATAACATTTAAGATGTAGACTCTTCGCGAGTGTTCTAGCGCATCAGGTTAGTAGAGGCTCGAATAGAGAAGTAAGACTAAGTTCACTACCTTCAACAACTTAGTGACAGTGAAGACGGGAGGCTGGGCAGGCTCCTCCTCAGGTTCCTGTTCCATCACCTGGGGTCGGTGGGTCCTGGTGGCTGGGCGCCGCGGCGGCCGGGGCTCGTCCACTTTGCGACAGAACTGAGGTTGCTTGTTGAACCGCATCAGGTAGTAGCTGCAGAAATCCTGCGAAGGGCAATGCCTGAAGTCCATAAATAAATTCTATGACACATTCTTGACTACACATGAATGAATTGTTGTGTGTAATCTCTCGCTCTCTCCACACAAACACACGCACGCACACACGCGCACGTAAACAGTTATTCCTCCAATTGTATAAACACACAACAAAAAATTACTTTGTTTTAACTTCTTAAATAGCTACACATTTTGCTGAATTCTATTTTGTAATGCGATTATTGTATGCTGTGAAGTTTTCGAATAAAACAGAATAATAAATATTAATAATATATACGCTGGCAGAATTCACCAGATGTTCACCGGCATACTCCTATTAAGATGAGCTTTAAACCAGTAGTACCTGGAGGATCTAAATCATGTATTTTGGCAATAAAAAAAATTTAAAATAAAGTCTGGTATAGAAAAAAAAGTAAAAAAAATAAGTGTGTAAATGATCGTGATACGAACCGCGGCCGTCTGTTTAGGGGCCGTCCGATTACCGACCGAGCTATTATAACATTTTTTTTACGGCGAAATTTATTGTCATATTCGAATGATATTTTTCATTCCCTGAAGACAGCGATAAAAGGACATTTCCTAAAAATGAAACCTAGCTAGATCGATTTTTCGCCCCCGAATCTACGCACATACTGAAAAACTGGAGCCGTTTTTCATGAATATATATATATATACAATCACTGGAGCCGTTTCTATATATATATATATATATATATATACAAGAATTACTCGTTTAAAGGATAAGAAAGATGTCAATGGACGTACACTTTGCCTACGGTCAGCGTCACCTCAGGTTCCTCCTAGTACCCTTCAATTGTGGAACTGTTAGTTATTAATGGATAGTTGTTAAATTTAATAATTGTTAATAAAAGTTATTAATGGATAAAAAAATTAAGTTCATTTATTCAATCTGTACCGCAACTTCCTTTAGATGCTAATACCGATTCCTGAACTAGCCGATAAAGCATAATATGAGGTATATACAATGAACTTATTTGTCAGTTCAACTAAGTCTGCATCCCTAAAACAGCTCCGCGGTACGGTTTATAAGACCCGCCCTGTCTCGGTATAGTTTTTGGTATATCATTTTGGAACGACAACAATGCCTCCATGTTTATTTGCTTTCACTGGGTACACGATATTGATTATTCCCTATGTGTAGCGTGTTATCCGTTACATTACTCCATTCGGTCATAAAATAAGGTACACGTGAGCCCGCGCATCGCGTCACTAATTTGTCGAGAGCGTTTCCCATACGTCGACTGACCCTGAATAATTCAGAGCGCACCAAACTTTGACTCGACACAAAGATGCCTTCGCTAATGAGAACGGCGTCATGGCCGCATTCTGTTAGACAAGCCCGTCTCAAGAGCTCGGCGAATCTCGAGTGTGTGCAGACGGCTAAGACAATGCACTAGAAACCACTCCGAAGATACACGTCTTAATTATTTTACTAAAATAACGCAATTGCTAATGTTATTTTTACTAATTAAAACAACGCAATATTTAGACTGTATTAATACTAGTAATTTTATCGGAAAGAGGTTATTCTGGGGTGTTTTTTTTTTCGCAAATTCAAAGTTTTTCTCCTGAGCAACGTAAGTTAGATTATAATCAAGAAAAAGCTTTGATTATATATTTGTCTAGATAACGCATTGGCCGTAACTAGTAACGTGGTTGAGTGTTTGTGTGATCGGAGTCAATAGCTTAGCGCCAAATGTACCGTCAATTTCTTTTAACTTCTCCACTCAACAAATTGATTCATCAAAAACATTGAATTAGCTTGTAATCTAAACTAACTTTGGATAAAACTTTGAATGGCTTCTAATCATATTCAGTTTATTTTCAAAATCAACTATGCAGCATCCGTGATATCTCAACAAAATGCCTCAAGGGCCGAAATGCAAGGAACATAAAGAAAAGAAACAGTTTAATATTATACTGCGGGAAGTTTCAAATGAAATCGTTGCAAATCTCAACTTGCGGAGCGTGTATTAATATCGCAAGGTCGCAATGCTATGGAAGCAAAAGTGCAGAGATTTCAATAATAGAGTCGAAAGCGACAGTGAGGCCGACTGCAGTGTTCGGGGACGGGGCGGCGTCTTCCAGTCTGTGATGTAGACGCGCTCCGGTGCCAAATGTGTCACGGGTGCGAAGGTAAACGTGGCGCCACACCAGCGCGGATCGAAAATGCACGCGAATCGGTCGTAATTTGGCTCCTCTGTGGCTGTAAGCCGTACGTTGTGTGACGCAAATAACTGCTGCTTGCAAGGTTGTTTAGGAAAAATATGACATATCAAAGCCAAAATCAAAGTATATTTATTCAATATAGGCTTAACTTAAGCTCTTATTCAACGTCAACAAAAAATCTACCACCGGTTCACTAAACTAGACCTGCACAGAGAAGAACCGACAAGAAGCTCTGCGGTCTTGTTCTTTTTGGTTTTTTTTTTTATGCAAAAATACAAACTTGTTTAGGTATAAAATCAGCAGCAGCCACGGGTCTTGCAAGTGCAGAGCAAGAGTCATTTCCACACATCCTTGTCCTCAATGTATTCTTGCACATTATAGTAGGCCCTTGGCTTTAAGGTAGCTTTTACAAATTACAATATTGTAGATGATGTAACAATTTGACAGCTGGCGTCGTATCAAATATTGAGAGATTCTATTGAAAAATACAGTTTACAAGATAAATAAACAATTAAAAGTACTTGAGAATTATTACGTTAAAGGCAGTTGTATCAGTTGTTCTTATGTTTAAGAACTTTTTAAAAATGCAATTTTTGGGATTTGTTGAGTTAAAATAAATTATTTACTTTTTTCATATTAACTGTTTATATAACACTAGCGACCCGCCTCGGCTTCGCACGGGTGCAATGTATTATGGTTATAAATTTTCCTCGCAAATCACTCTACCTAGTAAAAACACCGCATCAAGATCCGTTGCCTAGTTTTAAAGATCTAAGCATATATTGGGACAGACAGACAGCGGGACGAATTTGTTTTTTACTATGTAGTGATCAACAGTTGTAATTGTTTTGCCCCCTTGTCCATAAAAAAAATGTCATAGCAACTAATTACTACCCCAAGGTACATTTTAGATAATAATTCTTAATGAAATCCAAATCGACTGAGCCAAATGTGTGCATCATAATAAATCAATTTGAGAGGGTGTTTTTTCGTTGAAATACTTTCTATATGTAATTTCGGTACTATTCATAGCGATGTTTCATTTGCATTGCACCAATATAAATAAATAATCGCCTTAAATCGCCATTGGGAAATATGAAACTGTTGAATTGTCACTTAAATTTCAAGCTTTAAAAAAACAAAATCAAAGTGTCATGGCCGCCGTAGGTCAGAATTCGCGCGGGAATTTCATCAGCCTGAGTGGTCAAGAAACCCGGCACATCAGAGAATACAAAAGAATTATTCTCGTGTTTAGTTGAGCAACTTACAGATGTGAAATCTCGCTATTTTGTCGCCGTATTGTTCTACCTGTATTCAAGACTGGCTTGAAATATAACAAAAAAGCATTCGTCGTTTTTCCTTAGCGGACCATTGTACGTCGTCATTCTTGCGAGCTCTGTGCAGTCTTTAGGGATTGTCACAGCATTCTAAGAGCTGCATATATTACCACTTTCTGTAAGCTACCCTTGCTTGTTAATAAGTCTGAAGCGTCATCGTCGCAGCCGCTGGAAGTAACGATACCCACTTTTTTTCTACAACAACCTACCGACGAAGGCTCGCACTACTGTTTGATATAATTATTATATCAAAAGGTCGTAATATATATTCATCTTATACAGTCCAATATGTCTTTTATTTTGAGTTTATGATCCTGCAGTAATTTTATACATTAGATGTGTCTGCAATGTTATAATATTGAGTGTACAAAATAAACTGTATGAGGCAACAATATAAGGATTCAACAACAACAGTCGTTTCCGTATTATTCTGCGTATACATCTTTCACAACCACGTCCGGCCCTCGACGACGTCAACCCTCCTTGAGAAACAAACACCCAGATTCGAAACAATTGTTTGTGGGTCACACAAATACCTGTTCCGTGTGGGAATCGAACCCACGACCCCCGAAGCCGAAGCCAATAGCTTAGCAACGGTGCCATCGAGTCATCAGTTTGTAATATAACACTATTTTATTAACGAAATTATACATATGAACCTGAAAAAAATCAAAGACGTAACTCCTAGTAAGTTAATATGTGAATGTCTAAGTAAGAATTCCCACCTGAAGTATGATTTCCAGGTCAATGTTATCGCACAGCTCGTAATCGTTGGTGAGCGAGGCTTCAGTGCAAAAAGTATCCGCGGTGTGGAGGAACCCCTCCTGCTTCAAGAAACCCAGCACCAGGTATTTGATGATCCGCTTTCTTTGCCGGAACAATACTTCCTTCTGTAACGGTTTATAAATATTTATTTATCCCGACTTGAAAAGTAATATGAGGTATATATTATAACGACCGTCATTCATCATCCGTACAGCTAAGGAATGGAGCAACCTGCCGGCGTTCGTCTTTCTGTCCGATCACAACGTAGGCGTCTTCAAGGCAAGAGTGAATAGGTTTCTACTGAGCTAGCGCGCTTACCATCAACGGCTGCATCGCCACTTACCATCAGGTGGGATGGCAGTCAGGCTCTGGCCAGTTTCGAATTAAAAAAAAACGAATGAAATAGCGGGGCAGATCAAACGACAAATCGTATCACACGAGGAAGGCGATGTTATTGAGTACTAGCTTTGTCCGCGACTTCGTCCGCGTGAAATATTTAAAATAAATAAAATTTCTAAAATAAAAGTAGCCTCAGTTAGTCCTTACTACAGCTAGCAGCCAGTGAAAGTTCCGTCAAAATCGGTCCAGCCGTTTCAGAAATTAACCGGAACAAACAGACAGACAGAAAGACAAAATGTAGTCTATTTAAACATGATATTTCTTTTCGCCGATTTGCACATGAGAATTGAGGTCGGGTTGCCGAGCCAAGAGTAGGTTTCAGTTACCTCACCATCATAATCATCATAATTTCAGCATGTTAGACTTCACTGCTGAACATAGGTCTCCCCCACAGACCGCTACAAAGCACGATCCTGGGCCATCAGCATCCATCGACTTCCCGCACAACCCCAATAACCTCACAATTTAAATAAGATCGAAATTAATGGAATATAATTGGGTCATACCGCTTCGAACTTCCTTGTTTGGCTCATTGGTCTTCTAACAGAAGCCATATTTAATCCCTTGATCCCAAAAGATGTCCAAAACGTATCGGCTGGCACTGACGTGACGTTGCCAAGGGATGTCTGCGTTGCTAAGGGTTGTTTATCAGTTGCCAAAGCGATAGCGCAAGGGGAGGCGTAAACCATAGAGAATGTAATCACTACGTAATGATTTTTTGTTTCCTAATAATTCATACGTTCATTCATAATAATTTTTACGAAAAAATGTTTATAGTAGAAATTATCTAGTTTAAATAATAAATAATTAGAAATTTTTTATTTTTTTTTATTCGCACATACTAAAATTCAAGAATTGCTCGTTTTAAGGAAAAGATTTGCTTTTAAAAACAATCCCACATAAATATAATAATATAAATATTTTGGTTTTCATTTTAAGTGTTAATGTTTCGGCAATGAAGTTACAGTGTTCAAAAAATATAACAGACACGTTTCTAAATATAGCTGACGTGTCGTATCTATCAGAGTGAGCAATTTCGAGCTTTTAACGTCCTTCAACACTGTTGCCTCCATTTCAACTCAACAAAACCATTAGGGAGCAGACGGCAGTGTGTGATTATTGCAAAAAGCCTTTTAATTACAATGCAAGCGGGGCGAATGGGTTTAACGTGAGTTTCATTGCTAAAGTAGTCTTTGTTGGTACAAAATGGAAGAGCAAACAACTGTAAGGTCTTTTGGTGCTAACCTATTAATTTGGTAGCTTTCGCAACGTAATTTATACTTAGACAGAGAACAGCACAAAAACAATTGTTCGTAGACATAAAACATTTTTACCGTTTCGGGAATCGAACCTAAGGCCACGGCGTTAACGTGACTTAGCAACCTAATAATGGGTGTAGGCAGTTTGCTGGTGCGCTCTACACATTCTTCATAGAGTTTAAAAAGTAATTACTTTATAAATTCTATGAAGAGTGATTAGTGCGAGATCAGGAAACGAGAACGGGATAATTCCGTTGACTTATCGCCTAGTTTCAGAAACACAGATCAACGGAGATGTTAACTAATCACCTGTCAAATGGCTTTTCAAATTTCATTTGAGTTGCCAAAAGGATGGTTAATCATTATGTATATAATCATCATTATTAATGGTTGATCATTAATAAGATCATTCCGGTCAATTCACAGAGTTAAACTATCCTTTTGGCAACTAAAATGAAATATAACTGAAATATAACTTGCGATCACACAACAATCTTCGCTGTTGCACGAATGGGCAGGTCCGTCCGGGTTAGTACCACAACCTAGCAGAAGACCGGCGTAAAGTAGAAGTGTTACACTTGTGCGTTTCGTCTGGTGAGTGAGGTAGCCGGCCGTAAATTTGAAAAGCCAATTGACGGCTGATTAGTTGACACCGCCGATGATCAGTGTTTCAGAAACCGGGCGAGGGTCAGCAGAATTTTTGGCAGGTAAAAGAGACAGCTTAGCAGCTGGACAGATTTAGTCCATTTAAAGTAAAAAAAAAAAGTAAAGCGACAGACTATATATCCCACTGCTGAGTCTAGCCCTCTTCTATCCACAGGGCATTAGGACATAGTCCACCGCACGACTCCTTCCATTGGAGGTTGGGTAGCTTATTTTGCTATTATTGTCCCCTTCCATTTGCGGTTGGGTCACGTAGTATATTTTACTATTATTGTATTGCGGTGTTTTTTAATTTTTTATATCGTGTGTTATCGTTCGTATTAAATGCTTAAAATATAAAAGGCTTAAAGCATTATAAAAAAATATTGTACATAGTTGTTCTTATATAGTTGATAGTTTGTACTTTAGTACTGAAAAATGAGTAATAAGTTCACAATATGACGTGAAGAATTTGAAAGCGATTGTAAATTATTCAACGACTTTTGAAAGACCGTTTCATGAGCCTCAAAATGGAAGAGAATTATAGAGAACTTAGAGAAGAAGCTTTAAATATTTATTATAATCGGAGCAAGTTTAAAAGAACTGCTCGAGACCTGCTTTGGAGAGCTTTGAATAAATACTCTGTAAAATTTCTATGTTAGGTACTTCATGTTGTTAAAAGTATATTAATAATCTTACCGCGAATACTTTTGTTTCAAATTCAAATTACCGACGTTTCGAACAATTTACCCAGTTAATTTACGTACTAATTTCAAATCAGCACTTAACCAATTTTTTTGATGTCTGCACGACGCAAAACAGCCTATCATTCCTTGCGATCCAATTAACGTGCTTAAATTTAGCTAGTTTTTCGCCCGTGGCTTCGCTCGAGTTGAAACTCTTAAATATATATCTTTCAACACTTTTTTCCAATTTAAAATAGCCTATGTCCTTTCTCAGGTTCTAGACTATCTGTGCACTAAATTTCATTTAAATCGGTTCAGTAGTTTTGGAGTGAAAGCGAGACAGACAGACAGAGTTACTTTCGCATTTATAATATTAGTATGGATTTGCGAAATACAACGTATCAATCAGCATAAGCCCTTAAGACAAATCCTTAAATTAATCCTTAGCCAGCCTTAAATTAATGTAAATGTTAAAATATGTTTGAGCTTATAATATGAAAGCTGCATATCGAAAGATTTACGTGGCTGGTTAAAAATTGTGTTACAAAGTTTGGTACAAATAATCTAAACTCTTTGAATTGATGATTCTGATCATTAAGAAGATCATTCTAGTCAATTCAGAGAGTTTAACCATTATACTTAATTATAATATATTACTTATAAATTAAAAGATTTCGTAAATGTCTAAAAACATACACCAATTGGTAAAACGGGCGATTTTTGAACTAATACCCTATTAAAGGTAAGTTGTGATTCCGAATACCGCAAGCTGAGGGCAAACATTTCCGAAATCCCGGTTAATATTCGACCGGGACCAATTTCCGCTAACGGAAATAGAAAGGCTTTATCTCTTCCTGGACGAGACCCGTTCCGACCCCGACCCCGTATATGCGTTTTATACATACACTGTTATTTTCTTTTTTTTTTTAGTTATTTAAAAAAAAATATTGCCCTTACTGTGGGATAACATTATCCTGCGTTGTAAGGACGTTTTACAAACATAAATTTTGTTCCTAGTATAATATATATTAAGTTAACGTTATATATAAATAAATCATGAGTTTAGAACCCAGGAAGTGCGCGCACCTGTTCTTTTAATTATGACGTAATGCTATTTATTACAAAGTCAGAAGTTGTTTTCTCTTTGATGTTTAAATGGACGGAAGTATTTTAAATTCGTCGACACAGTAGCAAATTTTAGGTAGTGTTATAAACGTTTCAGTTTAGTTTATATTGTATATATTCGTTATTCCAAGTCCTATGGGAATAATAACGAGTTCTGATACTGAGATCACGGGGCAGTAAAGTAGAAAACAAGGCTGCACTGCGAAATGTGCCTTAATTATATCTCTAAAGAATTTATTTTCGCTAAGCTATGAAACATCGTTAAAAGTTGTCAGTACTATAAATTTAGTCAAGATTTATTTGCTGTTGGCAACATTGTGGTTTTTCAATAAAATCGCTTTCAAAATACGTTGCTAGAAAGTTGCTGCAGTGATTGTTTTTGACGACCGCAATTCAATTCATATGACACTAGCTGCTCGGCTCTGTACGCATAGACAATATCTATATACGTGAAGCAAAACTTTATATCCCTTTTTACGAAAATTGCAAAGACGGAGAAGTATGAAGTTTCCCACACATAAAGTTAATATAGAGATGGAATGCAGATATTTTTTTTAATTATGCAAAAAAATATATTAAATGAATATAGAAAACATTACACACACTACACTATAAAAACGGCAAATCATGTTTGTTGTGTGGGATTTTTAGCAGTTGTTGTTATATAAGCAACAGAAATACATCATCTGTGAAAATTTGGTGACAGACGGACAGACAACAGACAGGGAAGTCTTAATAATAGGGTCACGTTTTATCCTTTGTGTACGGAACCCTAAAAATAAGATAATTATGCATCTTTATACCTTAAATCAAATTACCGTTTTAAAAGTCATTTAGAAAAGGAATTGCTGTATAGATAAGAATGGTACCTACTCTTTAATTTGAGACTAGATTACTACGTTATATTTATACTACGATACTACGACATACGTTACTTTGTTTATTTAATAATTTACATGGTAGGTGTGATTAGAAAGATAAATTTTGCTTCATGTGTATGATAGATTATCAAGTATTCTTTAAAGTAGTTCTTAAAGGATACGTAAAAAAAAATCGTTAATTCATTCTCAGATTGTTAAACACGTAATATATTTGTAACCTACATAGTATGTACATAATGTGTGTTCAAACATTTTCTTTAGACGGTTTCGACTTTACGTTTTAGAGAATTGTAACATTTTTTTAAATTCTAAACTGGCCAGTACTTGACTGCCATCCCACCTGATGGTAAGTGGCCCCGAATACACCCGAATTCCTATCCTAAAATGTATTTTTTAATAACATTGTAGAAACTGGACTAATCAATTAAGAAAAGAACTGGCCGGCAAGTTCTGCTTTTAAAAAATTTTTTTTTCTACGTAAAATACTTAAAGTTTACGATTTTGTTCGTGATCCTATTAGATAATAAAATATTGTTTGCGTTGTTTCAAATACAGCGTCGTAGCTCTGACTGGAAATATTATACATTTATTTTTAAACGCAGAACGTAACTGACACCGTTCTTGTGGCTTTTATCGCCATTTATTGCGACCTCTAGGCCACTAGCGACCGCGTCATTTGGTCACATTCCAAACGCGTAAAGCGGGGACGCGATTATTTATTGCCACTATCAGCGTATTAAAAAAGACAGACCTATTATTGTTTATGGCAACACCTGACGTCAATTTGCCCGCGCGCAAACTGATTTTACGACGTATTATGACAAGACTATTACGTGGACACGTCAGGTTATAAAAATATAACAGCTTTTAAATAACATAGGAAAGACTGGTTCAGATTTTTTTTTACATTTCAACATTTGTTTATAGTAAATTATTTTGCAGGTCTATCCGTTTATATCCTTAATTGACTAGTGTTATTATTAATTTTAGTAGCTGCGTTTCGTCTGGTGAGTGAGGGCCAACTTTTTAATATTCTTGTCAATCAGAGGCGGTAATCAGTTAGCATCAGGTAAACTGACTGCTCGTTTCCCAACTTTCATCGTAAAAAGATCTCATTAGACACTTCGGAATTTTGCTATAATCAGGGTGCATTTTCTAGTTGATAACTTTCTAGCTATCTATGAGTAAGTATACAGAACTCCAAAGACCAAACAGAATGCGCCCTCATGATGTAGCCAATAGAGATAAATAGCAATAGCTAGTTGACATGCTTCTCGTCATGAAAATCACAGTGTTATCGGATCGCATACATGAAGAAGATCTTCTCATAATGGAAGAACGTTCGAATTAGAGACAACTTTTATATTAGGCGTTCAAACGCAAACTTTCCAACTTATCGCGTTTGTTTATATTGCGTTAATCGCTTAGCTTCATTGCTAATAGCAGTTAAGGCGTTTAATTAGTTAGTTCCGTTTCCGCCGCCTGAAACCACACATATAGGTAATAATTGCAGTAGCGTGGCGTTCAGGGTCGTATAAATCTTGATAACTCCTTAATTCTAGCGCAATCATTATATTCTAAATTAAAAAAAACATCATTATATTCTAAATTCTAAATTAAAAAAAAAATATCATACGATTTTTTAAATTTCGAATATACTTAGCAAAATAATAAAGCTAATAAAGTGTCGAAACAATACGAAAACTTGTGAATGTGCGTTTAATCTGTCTAGTTCTTTAGTTATTAGGTTAAATTATTTAAAAAAAAAGTTGAAAATGATAAAAACAAAACATCTATTTTGCGTTATAACGAAACGCAACGTATCACGTGTTTGAAACGTAAATTTCTTATTACCTGAATGGAAGTGAAGTGAAGCGGACAGAAATCTACGAAACTGTAAAACCAGCCCGAGACGGAACGCAATGAATTTTATGGTGTCGCAACTCGCAACACAAGAGACAAATACGCTTACAATATTTAATGTATGTTATTGTAATACCAGAGCGGAAACTCGGTGTACAGACCGTTTTAACGATCTCACACTGTACCAATTTGAGTTCGAATCTTTAACAAGAATGGCGGTGTTGAAGAAAACACGGTGAGATCTATCATAAAAAATCTGTACTTAGAAACGTCATCTATACCGATAAATAAAGTGTCTGTTTGTAATATTAAAAGAACCACTTTTTACTAAAAATATGGATGTATACACGGTACATATACCGAAATAACATTTTTTACAATTTTTGTCTGTCTGTCTGTCTGTCTGTTTGTTCCGGCTAATCTCTGAAACGGCTGGATCGATTTGGACGGGACTTTCACTGACAGATAGCTGATGTAATAAGGAGTAACATAGGCTACCTTTATTTCATAATTTTTTTTATTTTAAATTCCACGCGGACGAAGTCGCGGGCACAACTAGTTATACGTAAGATAACATTAGATCTACTTAGTAATATGCATTACTACACGACTGTATTTTACTATACAGCCTCCACTTCACCACCTCTCTACATCACAGAGGTAATGAACCGACACATCTATCTGTCCAACCAGACAATTATCTTTAGCTGCATTATACCCCGCTGAATTCTTTGTTTGGCGATGTCATTCCACTTAGGCTTTGCCCACCAACGACTTCGATGTAGCGTCGCTAGACTTTACGCGATTTATCTCCATCTCTCGCTGCCAACAAAGAAACCTTTGGACTGCCCTCCACCGCAACGCACTCAACTATGCTTATTAAACGAGTTCCAAGGACAAGGTCATGGATCATCGCAATGCTAATCAGCTCAGCTGGCGACAACTTGACACGACGCTAATACCAGTGCGTAACAATTTACACACGGCTGGATTAGACACCAAATCCTCTCCCAACAATCGAGAGCTGGTAACGCAACCTTGGCAGAGAAGTTACTCTCAATCATGCGGAAATGCCTAGTTCAAGTTAGATTCTGAATTATTTTATTGCAATATACGTCTCTCTACTGAATTACGTGGTACCATTGTGCATACATTTATGTATTATTATGTATAGCGACGTGATGCAAGGCAGTCCCTAGTCAACGCTGGCAATAAACAGATGTGTCATAATATGTAGTTTGATTAGCCAACCAACTGCGCACATCATCATTACATAGTATAAAACAAAGTCTTCCCGCTGCCTGTCTATCCCTCTGTATGCTTAGATCTTTAAAACTACGCAGCGGATCTTGATGCGGTTTTTTTACTAGATAGAGTGATTGAAGAGGAACGTTCATATGTATAATATTTATTTATAACACATTGCACCGGTGCGAAGCCGGGGCGGGTCGCTAGTTGAAAATAAGCTACATAGGATAGTAAAGCAACAGCCTATATATGTCCCACTGCTGAGCAAAGGCCTCCTCTGTACAGAGGGTATAAGGGCAAAGTCCAACACGCAACCCCACTCTCACGCAACCACACTGGGATAAACGGACTTTACATACCTTTGACATTTTTTTGTTTATACAGGTTTCCTCACGATGTTTTCCTTCACCGGTGACCTGATAAGTAAGCATTTAAAATTAATAATGTCATTGGTACCGGCACCGGGAATCGAACTAAGTTTGCTAGGGTGTATTGAATTAAAAGCGAGTACCCGGAAAATGAGCTATCACGGGATAGTGATTTATGAAATTTATTATGATAATTCTCATTCGTGCTGTTTTGACTCTACAACTGCTTTATATATAAAATACCACAATCTTAGCCATCTTCATCATCCATTGTTTTTTATTTGTTATTTACACGCACAGATATATAATATGGATAAATAAACAGAAACATAAGTATCTGTTTGTCATAGACTATCGAACTTTTTTTATTTTAACAAAGTAACTCTACAGACTCGTGGTCCGTACTCTTTTTTGATTAACATGTTTTTTTTTTTTTGTAAATTTTCTTTTTGGGCTCTCACTGCCGCGTACATCAACCGGGCTGGTAGCGGTGCAGCAGTGAGTTCATATTTTTTTTATTATAATTTTTTAAATATTTTTTTTCTTCATAAATCGAAGAACGAAATCAAGACTATCGAACTTATAGCCTGTGAGGATAGACACAGGCATGCTCCTTCGTGCAAACGCATACAAGTGCATCTAACACAAATTAACGTCTGGCGGCGTAAACGTCTGATGGCTTAACAACTTTTCATATAAAAAATAAACAAAAAACTCGTTATATGGCATAGGGTAGAGCTATGAGCTCTATCATCGCAGGCTACATGTATTAGAAACTATGACCGATTCGCTAGTCGACGTGCTCGGTAAACCACTACTGTTTTGTTTTTCTTCTTTTAGACCAAACACCCAAAAATCTCTTCTAAACTATAAGTAATAAAGGTCGCAATCGTTTAACATCACCCTGTATAACTATAACAGCGTCACGAAAAATAACAATTATCCCCCAGAATGAAGTCACGTAAGTTGTATCGCTCGTGAACTTTTTATTTTGCCTTCGTATGAAATAACAATTTTCCGTCGGCACGATCCTCAAATCGATACAGGAATGCGAATGGTTAATATACGAAGGAATTTACTGAGCTAATGTTTACGACCTTAGTTTGGCATAACGCAGTTGAGCATAAAAATGTTCGTGGGTATAAAATGGTCGTTAAAATGCCATGGCCGTATTATTTGATAATATTATTAATTAATATTATTTCTAAGAATGGGACAACCATCCGCTGTTACTTCATTAATCTTTCTCTATATCATGCTATTGTTTAATGTTATGTGTCGGTTGATTCGTCCGATTCTTGACGTCGATATACTTATCTACCTAAGGTCATAAGGTAGGTTCTCAGTTAGTGTATATTTAAAATAAAATAATTAAAGATAAATAGGGTGATGGAGGTGTACTAAAAGCAAGTCAGTAGTACCTATTTGTTTATTGAAATCGGTTCAATAAGCAAAGTGACAGCCTATATATGTTCTGCTGCTGGGTAAGACCTCCTTTGTACGGAGAGTATTAGGGCATAGTCCACCACAAAACCCCACTGCGGATGGACCGAAATACATCTTTGAATTATTGTTTTTTTGGTTATTTTTTCCAAAATATGCAGGTTCCTCACGATGTTTCCCTTCACCACTGACGACCTGATAAGTCAGCACTTAATATTAACAATTTCTTTAGTGCCGGCACCGGGGATCGAACTCAGGTTGCTCGAATATATTGAATTAAAAGCAAGCGTTGGGGCAACGAGCTATCAGGGCCCATTGGTTCAATATGTGTCGAACGTGGGGTACACCTGTTACTTTTATTTTTATTTACATAGTATACGTCGTATCTTATGTTATTTTTTCTATTCAACTATTAAAAGTTTTGTTAAAATATAGTGCAAAATATTTGCTCAGCATATACCAAATATGTTTGTCAAAAATTTGTTTCAAAATTTATCAGGGTACGAATAATCAGAAGCGCAAAATAGCAAATCCGAAAGCACCTATGTGACAAACATTTCAACATCGACAAAACAATTGTTACTTTGCAATGCCACAAAAGCACATTTGTTCCAAACAGACCCGCATTGCATGTTATAGGACAATTAAATGAAAAACAAATATTAATAGTCTACTGTTGAATCGATTTATTCATGTTTAATATTGACCAACAATTATTGCTATACATTTCGATAGTGATATTTTTATTTGTAAAACAATACAAGTACGGTGCGTCCGTGGAGATGGCGCCGGCGCTACGTTCTCTCGTAGAGGCCTCTACACGGCGGCTACGCGAGGCGGCCAGCGAGCCCAGTGCCGCATTCGGGGACGCGGGGCGGGCAGTCCGCAGCCGACAGTCATGCCTCGCGCCGCGGGCACGGTCGCACTGCTCTACGTCACGCTACTCACCGCGCTCGTCGGTGAGTTCCATTTTCGAATTTCCAACGCGTGATATCGTTTCTTTTTTAACTTATTTTTTCGGTGTTTTGTTTTATTTATTTTTAATGATTGCAGCCAGTTCTGCAAGGCGTTAAGATAGAAAAGAAATTTAATTCAACTTTTATTTTAAGTCATGTAGATAGTTTAGTAACAAAATGTTGCGGTAATAAAAATGAAAATATTTTTTTATTGTTGCTGTTAGTATCGAGTTTATTTCACAATTTATGAATGGTTAAAGTGTTACTATGTTACAAAGATTTCTGTTTTACTTTTCTAACAGCATAGTGTAAATAATAGATTTAAAAGTACGTATTGCTATTCCCCTTATCAGTCCAAGTAGAAAAGTAATTTTCAACTCGCAATAAACAATATTTGATTGTATATGAAACCCTATTTTAAAACTGAAATTATTACGTACGTTACATTAGAGAAAGGAGAAGGAATCATTTTTTTTTTAATAAAAAGTCATAATTTTTATTCCTATTCAACTTTTCTTTGGTATTTACTGGTAGTAATAGGTACGTAAAATTACTATTTAATAACTATAAAGTAAGTAATCTTCGCAGCCGTCATATTATTATTACATTTACTTGAGTAGTTAAAGAAAGTTAAAGTGTTTATTAAATTAATTAATTAATTGATTATAATTAGTATACAGATATCCGTACTACCTGTGTGATGACTGTTAAATAGTTGCGATTTATTCTTAGATCAACGGCAGTTGGATCTCATGTAAACACGCGTTGTTATTATTAAGTAAAGTTACAGATTTTCTTAAGAAACCTCTTGGCTATCAAAGAATCTCTAATTAGTAAAGGGGCTACATTCGTTTGTTCCTTAAGATTTAGCATTATTGATTTTTTTCAAATTAATAAATTTCATGCCCATTCTTTTGATGGAATCAAATAGATAAACATGAATCAAATTTTCAAAACGCAACGTTGTTTAGTCCCAAACTAACGAAAGCTTGTACTATGGAAACTAGGTAACTGATAAATATATTGTAACATGCTCTTTTGCAAATAGATATATGTAATAGATATATACAACTACGCAGACACTAGAAAAACATCCATCACACAGTATTTTTCCAGTAGTGGAGATCGAACCCACACCCTCTGGTGCCTGAAACATATTCACTTACCACTATGCCAAGTGGGTTATTTCAAAAACTTTTAAGATGCCCTTAAGACGAAATTTAGGTATCCCGCAGAACGCAAGTTTAAATATTTGCAGCTGCAATTTTTTTTGCATTCGTTAGGGTTCCGTACCCAAAGGTAAAAATGGTACCCTAATACAAAGACTCCACTGTCTATCTGTCACCAGGCTGTATCTCATGAACCGTGATACTTAGACAGTTTTCACAAATGACGTATATCTATTGCGGCTAAAACAACAAATTCTGAAAAACAGAAAAAAAAAATTATTTCAATATTTCCTTAAATATGAGAAATTCTCATTTGATTGCAGACTAATAACAACTTCACTGTATACAATTAAATATCCCATGATCGTTATGATGCATTAGTACTGTTGGCAACATAAAAATTATTTTTATGCATGGCAATTATATACTATTCACTTGTATACTGAACTCTCTCGCATAGACGTGTAATTAAAGGATGTACACAAGAAAATAAATTTATTTGTGTCTAAAAGTGGTTTATTATTATTATTATATTAAAAGAGGCAGGATTACTTCCACTACAATCAGGCAAACCTTGACAAGTAAAATTTTATTTAACAATGTGCATTAATGACAGAATTACCGGAAGTTCTCAACCCTATGGGTGTTGCAAATGTCCATGGGCGGCGGTTATCACTTAACATCAGTTAAATGGTAAATAAAATAAATGAATAAATAAAAACGGGTGACCCCAGCAAGTTGGAATTTATACCAGATACTGGGGAGGACCCTATCTTAAAAAATATAAACCTATATCGTAATTCACGTCGACGTAGAATCAAGAAATTTGGCAAAAAGCAAGGTTAGAAAAATGAGTGATGTTATAATAGATAATAGGTTCCTTTTTTAACTTTTAAGGTAAGGAACCCTAAGAGTCTTCCAAATATTTTAATGTTTGGCATCACCCGTGCAACATTTCCGCTGTTGTGTGTCCAAGGGTTGCAGATGTTCATTGTTGTTCACCATTGTCTCTGTCATCGTTTTAAAATAAAAAAGTATCAGTTAGTCAAAATCGAGATGATATTGCTATTATTGCAAATCATTTTATTTCTTTACTGACGCAATAAATGGTTTAAAACTTAACTATTCAATTAAATTAAGAAATAGATTATTTAAATTATAAAATTGCTATTAACTAATATTTTGAAAATAGATCTTATCTAATCTTAACAAAGTATAAGAAAAATTCTAATGCCAATTCATACTTTTACGGCATAAATATTATGACATAAAGTCATAATGTATACATAAAACTATTATGTAAAGCCTTTTAAATTCCCATATAAATATATAGATTCCTTCTTGAAATCTTAACAATCCAAAACATATAAGAAATCTGTTATAACCTTATAAATTGAAGTTAGTTTTCATAATACGAGAAATGAAGTCTCTCAAGTACATACTTAATACCTAAACGTTCATTTTAATAACCATCGCGGCCCATCAATCAATCGAAAAGAGATTTGACGGCTTCGGCGCTTCCGTGTAATTTCAAAGATAGCATCGCACCAACTTACAGAGGCAATTTATCATTAAGCGCTGCGATCTCCGCGAATCCCTGCCAACCTCTTAACCTAGTAAATTGCGCGATGAACTTTAAACCCCCTTGATAAAGAACCCCTTTCAACCTATCTCGGCGAAACAGGAAAAGGGACAGCCGCTAGGGGTTGTTTTCGCGACGTAGAAACGTGTCACGGTGGACAAACGGCGGTGGCTCGACGCAGTCTCCCTTTGCTCGTGCAATGTAGGGTTGAACAAAAAGATAAGCTTCAGATTTAAAAAAATAAAGTTAAGTTCTTTTCATTGGCTTGAAAGTTAATTGTAGTCTTTTTTTACTATTTCGTATTAAAATCGACGTATCGATCAGAATGACTGATTCTATTTTATCATATTACGAAGGTATTTTTTGTATATATTAATTATAAAACTATTAATTAATAACTTTTAACGATTGCCTCAAATATAATAATATATTGAATGCGATTTTTTTATTAGTAGTTTAACGTCAACCTGAAATACTTAACTCATTACGTCTATTTTGTTATTAGTTAATTATATTTATTAATTATATGTATATTATAAAAATGATTAATGTATGATATTTGTGGTTTCGTTACACAGTGGCCTATAAAATTGTTAATAATTCAAGATTTATAGAATTTATATAAAAAATCCAGCTCGGTAAATGGAAAGCACTCACAACGCACAAATGTATCTAGATATCAGGTCTTGACGACCTGAATGGCGTAGTGGATAGTGTACTTGCCTCCTGCGCCGGAGGATGTGGGTTCGATCCCAACTACTGGAAAAATATTGTGTGAACATAGTGTTTTTCTAGTGTCTGGGTGCTTGTATGTGTATAATATGTATTTATTTACAAAAGAAAAGTATCTTTAAGTATGTTTATCAGTTTTCTAGTACCCATAGTACAAGCTTTGCTTAGTTTGGGACTAGAGAATGTTGTGTAAAATAAATGTGTCCTAAATATTTATTTATTTATTTATTATATCAATATATTTGTGCGTTGTTTCTTTTGTTTTTTCTTACTACTTTTACGTTGCCACACATGTGAAAAATGGTAAATTTTTCACATGTGTGGCAACGCTGACAAGTGACAACCCTGTTCTACGTGACAGGATGAGTCGTGCATTACTCATGCAACTCGTATTTGTACGCGGCGATTGAAACTTTTACAGCATTGCGACACTTTAACATAACATTAGACAATTCGTTCCACCCGGATTACTTTAAATAACGTTTAAAACTGCAATGCGCAAAGCGCACTCCTCTCTCCAACGGGAATCAGGACTATTTTATGTATATTTTTTAAATAATACTTCTTTTAGCGCGTTTCGAAAAAATGATGCGTTTACGACACCAACTTTATGGTGTTGCCAAACAATAACAACTTTTTGAAATTTAAATAAAAACAATTTAAAGAAGTATACCAGTCAGATAATAGCTACCGATCGAGCCGAGGTCTGGCCCCTCGAATCGGAATGCTAAACGCGTGTTGAGTGACAGCCCATGCCAAGGTCCCCTTTCGGGGACCCTTGAGCCTGATCACTCCATGGAGCGCCCTAAGAGCTTGGCGGCCTCCCAAACCGGTGATAATAATAGCGTGACGGCCCGAGCCGAGGCTCCCTCGGGAGCCCTCGAGCTTAGTCACCATAACGCGTAATAATAATACGCCGAGGTTCAGCCTAGGCGCCCCGTGCGCCAGGCCACCTCAAGCCAGTCGGATCTGTGAAGGCCCCTAAGGCTAACAGTGGCTCATCCAGCCTAAAAATAAAATAAAATAAAGAAGCATAATTTATTGCGATAAGTATACACACATGTTTTATTTATATTCTTAACTGCGACACCATAATGTCCTTAATAACAATCTAAGATTTTTTTTAATATTATTCATTGCATATGCGTATTAAGGATTTTGTTTCATCGTGTGTTTCAAGACCTTTCTAATTTCGACCCAATCATGTTTTTCTCCATTAAAATAATAGAAATAATACCTATCTAATATTTTGTACTTACGCGAAGCAATACACGCCGCTAAGATAATGTTTAAACAATAAGAGACACAGGGATACTCGACGTTTAGAAATCACCGTCTAAGTCGAAAGTTTTACTTTGAAAACTTGACCTGGATGTATGTAGTGAGAAACAAAGTGAGAGGTGAAGTGTAGCTCTTCGCTTTGTAGGGATATTCGGAGAAGAGGTGCTGCAGCGACAGTGTTCAACGAAATCTTAAGAGTGTCTTTCACTCTCGAACTCTTGGGAACAATGACATTTGCA